GTGACCGTTTATATCATTATCCCTATAGAAAATTGACATTTAAAAGATTTGTGGTAAATCACATTATATGGAATACATTTATGTATTCGATTTAGTAAAAGCAGGTGGTGAGAGAATGTTCAATTCTGTGCTCGCCACGGTAATTCACTTTGCCTCTGTCGTCGTCACATGGCATAGTTTTGTTAGACCAATAAACTTTTAACAAATGTCATCTCTAAATTTCTCATCTTTTATTGATTTATGGGTAAAGAGAGAGTATGCCTAGATGAAGTTTCTTTGTTACCGTCACACACGCATATAATATACCCATATACCGTGTACATGTACATTCAGCAATATATTATTTTGGTGCAGACATATATATTAAACAAATCTTTGAAAAGGAAAAACCAAAATATGCATATCAACATAACTAGAACCGACTTTAATCCTTCACCTTGTCTTTTTATTCGCGCACTTGCTTTTCTTATTTATGTACTTAAACAATTGTCCATGATAGGAATCAAATAAAAGTCAAGACTCTTATCGCATGACGAATGAGATCCCTTATTCTCCTCCTTTCACGACTTGCATTCAAAGCTCAGATTAGATAGTTTGACAAGGTGGAATTATATATGCTGTGTTAATATGCCAAAGCCAAACCACATAGGGTGTGTTTGGTAACATTTCTGTTTTCGAAAATAATTTTTTTTGTCAGAAATAAATTTTTTTGTCTATTTCCTGGACAAGTTTCTGAGCAGAAGAACGCATTTGGTAACTGTACAAAATTTTAATTTTCGGAATAGAAAAAGAATTGAAAAGCATTTGGTACAACACTAAAATTTTCTTGTGACGTGAATTTTTTTTTATTTTTTTAATAAAATTTTGAGATTTTTCTAATTTTTTTCCTCCCTTCTTCTTCCTCCTCTAGCCGGTCGCACGGGCCTCTGTGAAGGCCGGCGACTGGCCAGAGACAAGGGCTGGTGAGGCTCTACCTCGCGGTAGGTCGGCCTCACTATGGCTAGGTGAAGCCAAACTCGCTTAGATCTAGTGAGATTGAGCCTCGCCCGGTCAACGTGAGGTTGAGCCTTGCCGGTGGTTGGGCGAGGTCCGTGAGGTCGGCCTTACCATTGCCGGGTGAAGCCAACTCGCCGGCCCTTGTCTTTGGCCAATCGCCGGTCATCGCCGAGGCCTGGCGACCGGTTAGAGGAGGAAGAAGAAAGAAGGAAAAAAAAGAAAAAAAAAAGAAAATGACTTGTTTCAGAAATTGTTCTCGGAAAAAAAAGTAAGTTTTTTATTTTACTTCTTGCTTCTGTTCCAAATCTATTTCCCGACCATAATTAACGTTACCAAATGGATTTTTATTCTAATTATATTTTAGAGAACAAAAGAACAGAAAAATAGAGAAATTAGCAAACAGGCCCACAGCTGCCGACAGAAAACCGAAGGCCATATCAGTGCGTTTAGTTAGTACTCTATGACACTTGCATGGATAGCAGCTTCATAGCGTTTCAAACGCGTTGCCGACGTCTATGTATTCTTCTCTAGTTGGTGTCGTACTCCTGACCCCCAGTGGTTGGAATCAGTTGATGCCGAGGCATTTCTTTTTGTGGGAATATACAGGAAAAAGAGGCCAAGAGGTGATAGGATGGGATATGCTTTAAAGATAGTTATTTGTTCTGTGATATTGGGATTAGGGGAGCAAGTTGCATGCACCCTTCTACGAGGTTTTTCAAATTCCAGCCAGGGGTTTCTGTATGATGATCGATGCAATAAGATGGAAAAACTAAGCAAACAAAAAGGAAAAACTTTGACCATTTGAGCTAAAACAACAAGCTAAACTTTAAAGATTAAATGGTAAAAGATAGAGAGGGAGAATTGTAACGACCTTGCTTGATTTACGTGGGTCAAGCTCTCAAAAGAAGTATTCAAGGTGATGATTCTTTTGAGAGCGGTTCCTACTTATGTGAATCACTTTACAATACCTCTTACATTTATCATTGGACTCAAGGTGTTGCGGATTCTGCAAATTATGCACTTTAGCAAATTAAAAGCATAGTAGCAAGCATAGTGCAAGTGACCCAAATAGAGTAACCACCCACCGGTGATAAATAGTTGTTAAGCGAAATTCTTTTCATAGATACATATCCTCCTATATTATCAAAATTAAAAGCATCTTCAAGCATGGAAAGATGTATCGAGGATCAATATTCTAGGATTCTCTATTCCACATATGAAACGCATCAATTGAAATTTGAAAGAGATTTTTAAAAATTAGGCGTGTCAAGTTCGAGGCACATCACATCTTTGAAGTTTTACGCATGATAAGTGGAAAGATCTTCTAGTTATAATTTTGGTATGCGTATTTAATTAAGGATCTGAAAGATATTTTCGGTGATATCAATCTTTGAAAGAGGCGACTCTGAGGAAGAATTGTAGATACAAAAACGGAAAGCTAAAGCTAAACCGTTGTGTATACAAAAGAGATAGATATGCTTTCTGATAATTTTGAACTAAGCATATATACCCCATCCATGGTCAACCTTCCGCGTAGATCTATTTACCGACATTATTTTTGAATTCGTTTGCGCGTAGCAGCAGTAACGCGATCCTTTCTTTTCTCCTTCTCCGCTCTGGAAAACATCTTATCTTAACTACATATCTTCCTCATAGATATTTTATGAAGAACTACCCCAATTAGTGAAGCGCGTGTCTGTTTGTCTTTGCTGTTATAAAGCAGGTCGGAAGCAGGAAGTGATTAGATGCGATCGAGTCAAAAGATCACACTCACACCACGACGTGGGCACGCCTAAGGTTCTCCAATCTCCCTGAAGCTAAAAAGTCTCCAAAGGGTAAGTGTTTACACACGGTGTTTCTATTCATATTTGATGAACTTGGAGAGAGCCCAGTTGACCCAAAAAAAAAAGGGACAGCATATGCAAAGAGTTTGATTAGAGTATGCGCCATGATTGCACGCCTGAAGTAAAAGAGAGAACAGAAACGAATGCTTTCATGTGACGAGGACAAGCCTTGGCGGGCGAGCATGGCTTGCTGTCTGATGGGGAAGGAGCAACGTGTCCCGGCATCCCATGGGAAAAAAAAAAAACACTTCTTTAATCGATCACGGTGACTCGCCCACGCCACTACTCTCAAGATCCCTCCACATATGGAACCCTTTTGCTTTTTAAATAAAATTTTAGACACAGACCGTGTTCCAACTCCCACAAGCCTTTTTCTCTTCTTCTCTGAAACTTCTGGAGATATCTTGCTCTGCCCAGCCGGTGCGCTGTCCACTCATTTTGTACGTGGCGGGCCTGCAAACGAAGTGTAGATCTGATCTGTCCCGGACAAAGTTGTGGGCATAATGATGTGACGCCATCTGGCGCATGCGTTCCCGGATTGACTTCCAATCACTTTGTGCTTGTGTTTCGCTCATCCCGCGTCCCCAAGGGCCAGCGGATCTCTTCATCTCCTTCCTCGTCTTCTTTTGCTCATCATATAATTCTTCGTCCTGCGGCGGCAACAGGCATTGTTTCGGAGGACGTGGCTCCTGCGCTGCGAAGTTCCTGATACCACCCGGGCTCCATCCGTTCAAGGTAAGCATCCGCAAAACAATCTCGTATTCTTTTGAGAATAATCATGTGGGCACACGGTGAGGTGTCTCTCTTGATTTGTCCGCACTTATGAGAAGTGAGGAAAAAGCGTGAGTGACTTGAAATCCAATACCACTGCTTTCACGACCGTTCTAAATGAGATCTATCTAGGTCTATATAGACCGTGGATGGTCTTATGATCACTTTAAATCTCCATTACTCTTGTTGCGAACGATAAATAATTAGAATGTTCAGTATTCCGCTATAGTTAAATTTCTAACAACGTTAGGATCGAATGACACTTCTGATAGATGGATTAATAACCCAGGAATCCATAGCATGTTTTATCAGTAGAAGCTTTCGGGTTTTGGGACCTGGTAGATTTATTGCAGGCTTGTGGGAACGTGCCTCGAAGTTTTTTCTTTTCGAAAATGTCAAAGTTTTGCGGTTTAGAAATTACGGAAGAAGTTGATAATATGGACAATATGAGTGTCTGTCGGGATTTGCGGGGGGTGGTAATCAATCAATGGTCAAATTAGCTACTTCCTTTTTTGTTTTTTTAACTTTTTATTGCGTATTGTTTTTGTCAAAAGTTGCATTGTTATTTGAGAATCTTGTCGTTTTCTGTCGAAATCACATTGTCGTATCGGACGGTAAGAGATGGAGTCGGGGTCCAATCGTAGCGCCCCACGGTAGGGGACTGGCGGTGAGCAGAAATCACCGAAAAGTAGAGTGCGACGTGTCACGTGGCGGTTGAGCCCAGCGTCACGTTCGATCCAGTGCCCAGAAATAGTCATGCAGCCCACGTGGTTCCCCTGCTTTGGAGCCGTGGTCACATGGGTTCGAACGCAAGTTGCTGCAGGCCCAAGCCATCTCCCACCTTTAAAAAGCACATGCATTTCCGTGACGTTTTATCTCGTTTTGGAATCGCGCAAATCTCACTTTGTGAATTCTCTTTAAGCTAAATCCTCTTCGATGCAAATTGGAACTTAGGCAGTAGGAGTTTGGGTTATATACACCCATTCAAGGAGGAGGAGGATATTTTCGCGATCTTATTCTATTTTTACTTTTAATATGATCACATCATGCTTTGCCCAGCTCAACGGCGTACAACGACTTAGAATAACATGGCACTAAATGGCCTTATGGGCTATTGTTAGGGGCATTTGATTCCCTTTCGTTCTAATTTTTTACGTAAGCTTTTCAAATCGAATCGATTGCGTGCGGATCACGATTTAAGTAAGACTTATGGTCGGTGCTATAATTAAAATAAATGAGGGTATGTAAGGTAATTTCGAAAAAGAAAAGGGGATGGTTGCCGTTTTCCGATGCAGTATCTAATCGTTTTTTATAATTAGTGATTAGCGCGCGTTGAAGATGGCGATCTTTTCCATAAAGCAAGGGTTCCGCTTATGGGACGATCTAATTGCGCGCTAAACCGACATGCGGGCCTCCGGTAAGGGCAAACCAGACAAACCGACACTTTTGGAGCCCCGAGTCCGATTAAATCGTATTTTTATTTCGTACGGAGAAGGTGATGAAGGAGAAATCATCATCATCGGTTCCTTTCTGAATCGTACGACGCCTCCTGCTCCCTGTTGCATTGCATGCCGCTTGGTCTGCTCTTCCCCCCTCCGGTAACCGTCTCCTTCCTCCCGTTCGTTCTGCATTCTCTGTGCACTGCATCGTCTCGAAACGCCGACCAACTCGAGCTTGAGCGAGCGAGAGAGAGAGAGAGAGAGAGAGAGAGGGAAGATAAGGTAAGGGGAGGATTTTCGAACGAGTTCGAGAGTGTTTCTGAGGAACAGGAATGTGTGTGTGTATTTGTGTGTTCCTTTTACTGTTCCATGTTTGCGGTTCTATTTTTTGGGATTTGACGGCACCAGTTTGATGAGACCCCACCGCTTGGGGCACCACCGGTGAAGGTTGTCGGAAAAACCGCACCTAACGTGGCCCTTCACTGAGCCTGAGGTTGGTGACGGAGGTTGACAAACTACCTAACCAAAATGAACAACGGCTTCCGGCTCAAGCAACTCTTTCTTGCTTGCAGTTATTTGTTCTCTCGAGTGTGCTTGAGGCTGAGACTGAGACTGAAGAGTGTTTTGGTTTTCCGGTGGGGCGATTTGCAGAGGAGAAGGGACTCTCGAGTGGGTGGACCGTCGGCGTCGTTCCTCCTGCGACGGTGGTGGAATGGATGAGCCGGCCAGGATTTCGTCGCCGTACAGGCGCCGGCGTGATTTGGAGGCCGGAGGTGGACGCCCCGAGGGGAACGAGTCCTCCGATGATCCGTTCGACATCACCAGCACTAAACACGCCGCCATCGGTCGTCTCAGGCGATGGAGGGTAATCTTATTCTGTTCTATTCTGCATCCTCCGTCTTTCTTTTCGTTTTCGTACTTCTTTCCGCTGCAGTTTTGATTGTTTGGCATCTGGATGGCCCTACTTATCCTCTTTGGGATATCATCTCTCCAGTTAATTAATTGTCCATACCTGTCCGTCTACTTTTCAAAGTACTACCTGCGACCGAATCTTTGATTTTTTATATATATATGTTTGACTTCTTGTTCTCGCTTGATTAACACGCGCAAAAATGAAAGGGAATGATCTGTGATCCTTGCGGTCTGCGGATCTTGAGTAGATGAAAAAGGCAGTTTGACATTTAAATGTCTTAAAACTTCTCAGTTGGTCAAGGCCGAGATCGGACCAAGTATTTAATCTGATAATATACATTGTCCATATCGTGTCGGTGGAATTTGAGGTTCTAGTTACTCCGTGTAAACCAAATATTATGGTCTTAGATATCTCCAATTATTATCAACCCAGAATTGTGAAACTTACTTATCAAACCCAATATTTTGCTTTTGGTATAGTTGGTTTGAGTTGGACCATCCAGGCTTGGGTTAAGCTATGGCTGTGTAGCCAAAAGAATGCCTATTCTGTAAACTCTGCATACTTTCCCAAGTCCGAAAAATAATTCTTGCTTTGATATGTAACTGGGACATTGATCAGAAGGATCCTAGGTGTGTCTGTTCTTTTTCTCCCCCATGAAACTAATGATGAATTAAACCTATCATTCATTCTCTCTCACAGAAAGATTGAGGAATTGACCTAAAGTTTGAAGTTTCTTGTAAGGTTCTTGGAAGGACGTGTATAGATTTTCATTGCACCTGTAAACAAAAGTTGGTGAGGTCCTAGACAGCATTCAACTAATGCCATCGCTAATCCTCTCCTTATCAACGCAAAGATGTAGGGGTGTTTAAGAAGTAACAAGAAAGATATGCTCGAGTATAGATGATTCGGACCATGTGACGTGTTTGGTGGCAAGCAGAGTCTCAAGATGCTTGACTGTTCAAGCTAGACAAAGAGCATGACTGGTGTGTGCTTCCGATATGTAAAATAAGGTCACGTGGCAGATTGATGTTCAATTAGGATGTACCGCAGGGAGGCAAAGAATGAAACAATGAGTGTGTCTAGGAATATGAATGCAGTTTTAAGGAGAACGTTTCTGTGCTATTGGACATTGCAAGATCATAGCTACTTTATGATATATCCCCCAAGTTGGATTATGATATTGTTATAAGTATCAGAGGTCTATTGCAATATAGTCTGTTTGACTTCCTTATTTGTAAACTTGGACCATAATTCTAGATTAAGATTAGAAGAGTCTATGGAGAATGATTAGTGTTCTATAGGACTTCAAGAGGGTAATTACTGTAAAATATTTCTCCCAAGTTCGATTTATTCTTATCAGCACTAGAGGTCCATGGGGAATTACTCTGTTTGACTTTCTTATTTCTCTACTTGGCGCAAGATTTCACTTATAGATTCTTAACTAGAAGATTCGGTTAAATACGCTTGGAATTTCCTTATTTAGATGCTCATGAAAGTGACTTAGTTTCTAGGGATTGTGTGCATGTGAGTTTTGTGATGCAGGGCTGTTTGCTGGCACTTATCAACAACTTCTGACGTCTACTTATGAATTTTCCTCCAAAATTTGAGAATAAAAAAACTGTTCAAGTTTCCAAAATTATGGAAATATTGTATGAGATTTTTCATGATAACATTTGAATAATTTGAAAGGTTTTAAGTATTATGGATTAAATAAAAGGCAAAGTGTGAATTGTGTAGATTTACAAAAGTAAAAGTTAGTCCAGACGCCTCTAAGGTCAAACTTAGAAGCTCTTTATGTTACAGGGAATTTTTTCTTCACGACTTGCTGTTTATTACCACTTTTTTTTTGTGTCTCTTTTTGGTTTTTAAATAATGGTATCCAAATTGAGTTTCCAATATATATATGGATGTCCTTTTCTACATCATATACTTGAAAACAGGGTATCATTATATGTCACGGCTCACATTTAACAGATCTCCGTTAATCTTCTATTGCCAAAATACCGTTCTGATGTACAAGCTTTTCATACTTCATTTCCTTTCCCAGTGATATCTTTCTATATTATTTTGGACAAACCATGATTTTTTGAATCATGAAATAGAAGTCGGATGACGTCGAATTGCTTATATGGTCGACAATTTATTTGGATTGTTGTGAATTCTTTTAATCCTTATTTACCTAATTATGTATGCTTGTAGCAAGCTGCACTTGTGTTGAACGCCTCTCGTCGATTTAGATACACCCTTGACTTGAAGAAGGAAGAACAGGTGAAGATATCATTGCAGAAAATTAGAGCTATCACTCAGGCCATGCGCGTAAGCAGATTATATCAGAGTTTCAATCTGTGAGAGCAACTTCTTATATGTGCCTGTGATACCTAACTGAGCTTTTCATTGCATCAGGCTGCACAGATTTTCCAAGCACAAAGTCAACAAGCTAATGGTGCTCATTTCCCCTTCTTGCGCTTGATTTACGCTAGGCGCAAGCTTTGATACATTCAGGGTGTCTTTCTCTTTGCCGGCGTAAATATGTTATTGAATGGGCACTATGCTCATGCTATGCATGACAAAATGGGGAGTAAAATAATCCATTACTAATGCGCGGGAGTAGTTTTATATTGCAGCTCTCCTACAATTTAGCCATATATGGGACATTGATATTTCCATCCCTTGCAGTGGTTTCTAGCTCTTCCTTCACTGTTTCCTTTCAGTGTTGCTGGTGCGCTAGTTTGTTGATGTTTCTTTTTGTTTTTTATAAATTTCTGTTCTCATCTTCTATTGATGCCTCATGTCTTAGTGTGTGCTTTCATCGTCGAAAAGTTTATAGGGTCTATTTCCTGAGTTGTACCATGTCTTTGTGCCAAAGAAATTTTGGCATGAAAATGTTTGTGTACATGTAGTTCGCTTCTTTGGTTCAACATGATCACACAATGCACCTGGAAAATCTTAAATAAATTCTTCTTATCCTTCTTTTTTTCCAGGAATCTCAAAAAGGCCCATCCCAAGTGGTGATTTTGGGATCAGTCAGGAGCAACTTGCTTTGATGACCAGAGACCGTGATGTTTCTACTCTGGGAGAGTATGGAGGGGTAATTATACCAAAAGAGCATGCTTCTTGCTTTCTGTTGACGAAAATGTGGCAATTTGCCTTGGATTTTTAAGTTATATGTGTTGCATCCCGACAACTGCTATTTGTCTGTTGAAGAATTATCCCACATCGATTGACAACGGGTCCTAAATGCTCTTTATATTCATGTGGTCTCCCTCCATCTAATAGCTCAAGCTTTTGGGTTGGACTTTCTAACATGGTATCAGAGCCAATGCTATCCCGTTCGCAAATGTGCGTGGTAAAAATTCCATGTGAATGTGTGATGTCAAAATTTCACGTGCTGCTCGTAATCCGGCTTGCACGTGAGTGAGAGTGTTGAAGAATTATCCCACATCGATTGACAACGGTTCTTAAATGCTCTTTATATTCATGTGGTCTCCCTCCACCTATAGCTTAAGCTTTTGGGTTGGACTTTCTAACACTGTCTTTCTATCCCCTTTCTATTGTGGCTTTTCCAAGGACTAATGTATTTTGCAGCACTACAGCCAAGGCTGGTGCTAGAAAATCAACAAATAACTTGTCTCCTTTTTTTCTAGTCAGAATAGTTAAAATTGTTTGAACATCTAAAAAAAGGAGGGAAAAAAGTGATTTGCACGATCTTTTTGTTTTTTGTGATTTGATCTGGCAATTGAATGATTAGGTCAAAGGACTAGTGGAGCTCTTGAAGACAAATTTGGAGAAGGGTATTCACGGAGATGATGCTGATTTTTTGGCTCGACAGAACACATATGGATCAAATACATATCCTCGGAAAAAAGGAAGGAGTTTTTGGGTAATCTCTTTGACATTACACTCATTCATTTTGTTTTCTCTTCTCTTTTCGGTTTGGCCACATACGTTTTATTTGTTGATTAAGAGTGTAGACTAGCTACTTTTCTCATCTAGTTGTTAGTATTCTCATCAGTACATCATTTTTTGTCCTTTGTATCATGTAGATGTTCCTTTGGGAAGCCTGGCAAGATCTTACTTTGATCATACTGATAATAGCTGCAGTGGCTTCTTTGGTACTTGGAATAAAGTCGGAGGTGGGACTGGCCTGCTCACATATGAGTGACAGTGATGCGATATTGTGATTTGTCTTAGTTGCTTTATATTGATTGGCATTTTCATATGTTCTCATTCCTTGCTCGAACCGACATAATTAACATCAAAAAAAGGATATGAAAGCTCTGCTGAAAGATTTTGAAACATTGCTTGGTGCATATAATGGTCTTTACCCGGATTACTTTCCTGTGTATCCCAGCACGAAGATTCATTGGCATAGGGACAAAATAAGTTCCTATCGAGATGTATTACTGATCACTTTTAAAATTAATCATTTAATTATTTTTTATCAAAATAAGTGAACACATGTATCTCCAGTCAGACAAGCGGTGCTTATGCCTCATCTGTCATATGAATTCCTTTTTTTTTTTTTGAAGCATTTGGTTTTTTTGCATGATACTATGAGTCTTCAATCACTTTTTATTCAAAGATTGATTATGCAATCTATTCCGTGTGCTTCTTTTAGGGCATTAAGGAAGGATGGTATGATGGTGGGAGCATTGCTTTTGCTGTTATTCTCGTCATTGTTGTCACAGGTAGGATCAGTTTGATTACAAGATCCGTTTGCATTGGAATTTTGTTGACACATGCTTTAGGATTTTAAATCTTTTATTCAGTACTTTTTCAATTTGACAATTTTAGCTATTCCATCATGGTAACACAGGAAATGTTTTTGCTGATTGATCAGACGATAACTTATATACTCAGGAGCATGTTATCATGCTGCATATTTTCCTTCTGATTGATCAGATCGTGACTTTTATGCCCAGGAGACATGTTATACTGCTGCATTTTTAGTTTCTTCTGATAAGGTTGCAGAATAATTCGATAAGAGGAAGCAATCAATGTGTTGATGTGCAGTAAATAATTTAGTTTTTCCACTATGGATGCTGTTGACTGCTGTGAAATGCAATGACTTTGGAATTGTTCGACATAAGTTACTCTCTTAATTGGGGTTGGATTCTCGTCTGCAGCAATAAGTGATTACAGACAGTCTCTGCAGTTTCAAAACTTAAATGAGGAGAAAAGAAATATACACTTGGAGGTGGGTACTGTTTATGAGATGTATGTCTTATGCTCTTCTCTTTCCCATATGCATATGTATGAAGGTGTTGCATGTTTATAGGTTGTCAGAGGTGGCAGAAGAGTGGAAGTTTCAATATATGATGTCGTTGTTGGTGATGTTGTCCCCCTTAATATTGGTGATCAGGCAAGTAACTTAAACCAGTTCTGGATTTGGTACCCTGCCGTTGTGGATACTGGTTATGTTTTTATACGTGATGTTTACTTTTCTCTCCAGGTTCCTGCAGATGGAGTCTTGATTTCTGGTCACTCCCTGGCGATTGATGAATCTAGCATGACTGGAGAGAGCAAAATTGTAATTTGTAGTGGAGATTATGCTCTCACTAGGCAATCAATCTATTCACAAGCGGGTCTTTCTTATTTCATTTTAACGTTTTGATCAGGTTCACAAGGATGCAAGGGATCCCTTTCTGATGTCTGGCTGCAAAGTTGCAGATGGCCACGGCACTATGCTTGTAAGATTTTTTCAATTCTTCAACTTTGCTTTCCACAGTATACTTCTTAATGCTGTTATTTCGCATCACAGAGAAGATCCATACTTCTTGAGATAGCTAATTTTCTTGCAACATATTGCTACTCTACCTCGTTCTTTGCTAAATGTGGGTTGGAAAATTGATAGTCATGAGTTCTTGAGCTAATTTGGTAAAGGAGCACGGCTCCTTTAATTTCAACTCTCTGTTTTGAAATAGAGGGTGGACCCTTAAAATGATGGAGTCACTTGTTCTTAGATAAGCAAATCCCTATTTGTTTGTAATCTTTTAGTTACTTGAAGGAAAAGAGGTGAAAATTTTGATGTGGAGAAGAAGGCTCACTTTTACTGATGAAAGAAAAGATTTTAAGTAAGTACTGGAGATATTTAGAAAGATACGGTTCGTTCTCTTCTTGAAGCCACATTAGCAGTAGGTGAGTCAAATTTGAATTGAATGAACGGCTCTGTTCCTTTGAACATGCACTTATATACTTCTCTTTGCCTGTCATGACCATCTACGTGGATTTCAAGCCGCACAGTTCTGTATATGTTTTTGTCTCCGATATCAGAATGTTAGTTTGTCAATGTTGCTGCTTCCTGAGATGGGGGTTTCTCTGTTCCAATTCCGTCTTTATTACAAATCAAGGCTTTGATCCCAGCTGTTTTCTGCCTCACATTTCTAATTTTTGCCTCTCAGGTGACGAGTGTGGGGATTAATACAGAGTGGGGTTTGCTCATGGCCAGTATTTCGGAAGATACTGGGGAAGAGACACCCCTGCAGGTTAGTTTCTTTAAACTTGTTATATCATTTCCATTTATTTTATAGATATAGATTTTGCTAGCTTTACTGATTTCTTCACTCTAATATTAGGTTCGGTTGAATGGGGTTGCTACATTCATTGGTGTAGTTGGACTGTCTGTAGCTGTTGCTGTTTTGGTGGTTCTTTTGGCAAGGTAACTGTTGTTACAAAAAACTGCAATTGTAGTTGATTAATCCCACAAATTGAAACTGTAATAGATCTAACAAACTCAAGCTTCGTGCAGATTTTTTACTGGCCATACGAAAAATTCAAATGGCACTGTTCAGTTTAAGGCTGGTCAGACTAGTGTTAGCGATGCTGTAGATGGAGCGGTCAAAATAATTACTGTAGCAGTAAGTGTACATCTGATGGAATATTTTTTGCAAATTAATATCAGTTAGCTCTTCAATAACTTTTAAATCTTACAGGTTACCATTGTGGTAGTTGCAGTACCTGAAGGGCTCCCTTTAGCTGTTACACTGACGTAAGTTTGTTCCCTATAATGAACAGACTTCTCAATACAACATTGACATTGGTGCTGTCCTTTCCATGTTATTGCTGCGTTTTATCACATTGGATTTTGTGGAATTTGATTTAGCTGGATAGTATCTCATTTGCATAATCATCTGTGGTCTTTGAATGGATTTTTGTGAAAGTATATAATGTTCATTTGTTTCTCATTTTTCACCTTTGATGCAATGGACAGACTTGCTTACTCAATGAGAAAAATGATGGCGGACAAAGCTTTGGTATGGAGATGATTTTCTCCTCCTTATGCCAACCTTCATTTGATTGTTCTATGGCAGTAAAAAGGAATTTCTAATCACTGATATTAAAATTTCAGGTGCGAAGGCTTTCTGCATGTGAGACTATGGGTTCTGCCACAACTATATGTAGTGATAAAACTGGAACCTTGACTTTAAATCAGGTATATTTTGTTACAGGTTGCTTTTATTGATCTAAGCATGATATCGCGAACTCCTAAATTGCTGTTTATCTGAGTGCAAGTAGATTTGAGCTATTTAAGAGCTGTACAGCTGTTGTAGCAGTGAAACACATGCACACACAAATATCATATGAGGGTGTTATTGATAACATCATTCTTAGGTTAATAGTTTGACTATGAATGATACTTAAGGAGTTATGTTTTTGGAAGTAAACTTTGCGACCCTTAATAATGTAGAGAATATGTCCATTTTGTGACAGATGACTGTGGTTGTGGCTTATGCTCGTGGAAGAAAGGTTGATCCTCCAGACAGCAACTCACAGTTATCTACTTGTCTGATTTCTCTGTTGATTGAAGGCATTGCTCAGAATTCAAATGGCAGTGTTTATGTGCCTGAGGTGAGGTTGCAGCGTCAGTAATGGCTGTTTAATAATGGTGACCAATATTAACTTCCTGTGTTTGAACTTCTTTAGGCTGGGGGAGATGCAGAGGTGTCCGGTTCACCAACTGAAAAGGCCATTTTACAGTGGGGGATCAAGGTTCATGCTTAAGTTTTCTATTGCTTTCCTATCTTTAGTTCATCTATTTGATTCAGGTGCAATATCATGTTAAACTAATCATGATGCCTCTATTGCAGCTGGGGATGGATTTTGAAGCTATTAGGTCAAGATCCTCTATAATTCAAGTTTTCCCTTTCAATTCTGAGAAAAAACGAGGCGGAGTTGCTGTAAAGCTGGTATACTTCTCAGTCTTTGGTTTTAGTGATCATGAGTGCGCTGCCGAAGAGGACATTTGCTTCAATAAACATAAACATGTACATGCACACACTAGCTTATTGTTATTATATTGGATTGTGAATCTTGTCATGCAGATTGGCCAGAATAAAAAGATCTAGGCATGCAGACAGTATCATTATCATTGGAGCAACTTTGAGTTTGTACTGAGTTGATATAATAGTAACTGAAGTTTTTGGGAAAATTGCCTGTGTACGTGAAAATAACTCAGACAGTTGTGTTTGCCCTTGAAAAGCTTTACTTAAGGCAGTATTAGTGCGGTGCTTTTTTTTTTGTGCTTCCCATATTAAGTAGGTCTTAAGAACAATGAAGTTAACACTTCCAAGGCACAGTAAAACTCTGAATCATGATTTCACTTGGGGATGGTCCGGTTGGAGGTGTCTGAAGGACTATATTGTAGTTGAACCTGGATTAGTAAGTTTTAGAAACTTTTAAAGTACTTATCATTTTAAAGTAAATAATTACAGGTCTCCTGCTTAAATTTCCAAATATTATATCTCAAGTCTATATTTGTAGCTATACTTGACTAGTTGAACAAATTTAAATGATATTGAGTTGACAAGATCGGATACTACGATTATTGATTTTGTCACGTAGGATGCAAATCCCCTTAAGATGCCAACATGATAAGATCTGGATATCGGTCCTTAAGTTTTAGATCGAACAGTAGATGGATCCTAGTATCAGATTTGAGATTTTACTAGCCATTACTTTGGGGCAAAGCCATGCATCCCTTCTTTATGGTTGTTGTCCAAAGGCCATTAACTGTTGGGTTCATGAACCCTTTATTTCTTTTTCTTTAACAAACTCTTTGGTGGTCTGAAAGAAGGAAAAATTTGCTGTTTTAAGGGAATTAACTTTTGGTCTTGGCTTGTACTTGGTTATGATGCATACCCAAATTGCGCATAGTTATTGGTTTGAGTTGTGACAGTGTTAAATGTCCTGCAGATTAACTCTACGTTTGTATAGTGATGTAATGTAAACCATAATTAATGGTTGTTTTTTATCTTTCATGCACAGCCAGACTCAGAAGTTCACATCCACTGGAAAGGAGCTGCTGAAATAGTTTTGGCTTCTTGTACAAAGTTCATGGATCCAAATGATCAAGTGGTAGCAATGGATGAAGAAAAGGTTTGGGAAATAATTGATTATTGTAATCTATAGCAATTCAATGGCTGCTATGGTTTTTCTTGCCAGCATCTTTCACAGTACTATTGTATTGTGCTATACTTTTTGATGAAATTTTATTTCATTGCTGCAATGTTCTTTCTGTGATGGCATAGCACACACTCTGGTATTGCACTTATTTTCATTGTGATTTTATGCCTTGACATGTTCCAGATCTTATTTTGACCATTTAGTTTTGGAAGTTTTGTGCATTACTCATTACATTCCATAGGAGGCAGATCTTGAGTCCTCTGAACTACTCTTTCCAACACAACCATTCTTGAATACCTTGGTTTGCATGTATATTTCATGTTGATAATTTTATATTCATGTTCGTGCTTTTGTTTATTGTTGAAGTTCTTAAATCTCTAAGAAAGAGATTAGGCTATTTCCTAGTCTTAGATGTATGGTGCTAAATTGTTTTCTTCATGTTTTGTTGCCTGTCACTAGTCATTGACAATATTGATGGAAGATCGTTAAATGAGTTTTTTCTTGTTTTGCAGATGATGTACTTTAGAAAGGCTATTGAAGATATGGCTGCTGGTAGTCTACGCTGTGTTGCCATTGCTTATAGACCCTATGACATAAAAGACATTCCTCTAGATGAAGAACAGTTAACCAAATGGGCATTACCTGAGGAGGAGCTTATTTTACTGGCTATTGTAGGCATAAAGGTATAATTCTTGTCAAGCAGTGCACATAATATTAAGTAAAAAGGACATTGATTTTTATTTGTTCTTATTTTTGGTCATGAAAGGTTCCCTGCCAGATGATGTGACTTTGGGAATGTTGAAAATCGTAGGAGGTTTTCTGACATTTAGAGAACTTCTGCTTTGGACACTCCAGTGCTTTTCCATGAATTTGAAGAGTTCTTATTGTAGACCTAAGGAGAAGTTAATGTTTGTGTTATTTCCTTGAACCGGCTTGTTGATCCAATTTTTTTAAATAATATTCTTTCGGTATCCTATAGAACTGTGTCTTGGTACATGTGGCTGGCAAGTGACGACTGAAAATATTTTCTTAAATTTGGCGGGATGTGTTGCTAATCATTTGCTATACTCACTGTTAATACGTGTGCAGTTTAATCGTAGGAATGACAATTCTCTTACATGTTCATACCGTGCAGGATCCTTGTCGTCCTGGAGTGAAAGATGCGGTGAAACTATGCCAAAATGCTGGAGTTAAGGTACGTTTGTATTTTTGAGTATTTTTTAAGATCGGTTCTTTGGGGATATGATCCCTCTTCCCTTCTGCTTTTTTTTTTAATGATTATTTCTGTAACTCAAAATTTGAATTTCTCATCATTTGCATCCTTTTAGGTGGTTATATTGGATGTTTAAGTTGGTTTGGTGCTTTTCATTGGAAAATGGATTGAGCATAATTTATCCTTGTATAATGAGGTTATTATGAAGGCTAAGACGTTGAGATTCTGTCTATCGATCACAATTGCGAAGTACATTGTCATTTAGTCATTTCAGTGTAGGGTGCTTCCAACATTTCTTTCTTAGGATGCTAATCATTGATGCTGGATTTCAAATAGTAATTTTCTGCGGCATGACAGATTGAGGATAGGAACTTATCTAGATGTGATCTCAGTATGTAATGCATCTTATTTGGTGATAGGTACGAATGGTTACTGGCGACAATCTCCAAACTGCCAAAGCAATTGCTTTGGAATGCGGGATACTAGATCCAAAGGCAGATGCTACTGCGCCAAACCTTATTGAAGGAAAAGCTTTTCGTTCCTTAACTGATGCGCAAAGAGAAGAAGCTGCCGAGAAGATATCAGTATGGCATTGCTTTTCTTTTGTGTAATCAATCGTGTCTTCTATTTGAGGGTATGCCCATAATCTTTCTGTTTTTGCACCAGGTTATGGGAAGATCATCTCCTAATGACAAACTTCTGCTTGTTCAAGCGTTGAGAAAGCGAGGACATGTTGTAGCTGTAACTGGGGATGGCACTAATGATGCTCCTGCCTTACACGAGGTTGACACCATTTTCTGGGGGTTCCTTTCATGTCTAACTGATTTTATCACTTGTTTCATTGATTCATGACATTTGTCATTCTAGCATCTCAAAGATTCAGCAGAAACACGAGACCAAGATGCCTTGAAATCTTTCTACATAACTGGTTTATAGTTTTCAAGTCCCTAGATGTCTCATGGTATCTTGCTTTGCACAGTCTGTTGGTAAATTTGGGTGGTCTTGAAGTCACTCCTAGTCTGGAAGATGCCTTGTTCTTGTATCTATAAAAGGTGGATAGATTGCAAGTTGTTAAAAAATGCAGGATCTTAGCTTGCCATGCCTTTGGAAAAAATTTTGTTGTCATGAATGGCTCTTGAGCATTCATTTCTTTGGTCCGCATTTACCAGTGCACTTATGTTGTGCCTTGACTTCGAACTCTTTCCATCTAATAATTTTGTTGCTTGGATGTCTATTTGATCTTCTTTTTCAGGCAGATATTGGCCTCGCAATGGGTATTCAAGGGACAGAAGTTGCGAAAGAGAGTTCGGACATTATAATTTTGGATGACAATTTTGCTTCTGTTGTTAAGGTTGGTAAATCGACAATGGTCTTCCGTAGTAATTTCCGTGAATTTAATTAAAAGAGGAATTTAGCATGTTCATGATGGAGTTTATTATTTGATTGAACTTTTCTGAAAAGAGGTGTCAATTGACGGCAATTAGTTATAGTGGAGCTTGAGTACATTAGTTACCTGGAGAGTTTTTTCTTTGGAAAGATTTGTACTAATTTGACTGGATTTAGATTGGTATTGTGCAACTTTTCTTGACTTGGGTATCTAGTCTAGATACCTCAAATGAGTCAATACTAAAATTTTGCCTGCACATTTGGAAAGTTTTCTGATATGTAAAACTACAACGAAATTGGGTCTTCGCAAATTTTTTCTTACTTAATGCTTAGTTGAACATTTGATTCCACATTGTCGACTTAATGATGTTGACTATTGTGGTTTATGATTTTGAATCGGGGGTTTATTAATCCTTACAAAGTGCAGTGATGGTTGACAAACCTCAAATTACTTGTGGAATGTAGGTCGTCAGGTGGGGAAGATCTGTGTATGCAAATATTCAAAAATTTATCCAGTTTCAGCTCACAGTTAATGTTGCAGCTCTTATCATAAACGTTGTTGCTGCTGTTTCCTCTGGTGATGTTCCACTGAATGCAGTGCAGGCACTCTCTCTCTCTCTCTCTCTCCCTCCCTCCCTCCCTCCCAATATCATGTGGTGCAGACGTCCACATGATATTTGCTTTCTCTAGTTCTGAATTTTTCTCTTTGCGTGCAGCTTCTCTGGGTTAATCTTATCATGGACACCCTTGGAGCATTAGCACTGGCTACCGAGCCTCCGACTGACCACCTAATGCATAGGTCTCCAGTCGGTAGGAGGTAAGAGTGAGTGGTTGTTATTGGTTGCAATATAGTTCAAGAATTTCGGTCCCAAGCTTGGAGATCATGTTTAATATAGTTCAAGAATTTCGGTCCCAAGCTTGGAGATCATGTTTTTTATCCCTCTTTCTTTAGATCTGTATCGCGATTTCTTCACTTGCTGGAACCTTTTGTTTTTCCTTACTCTCTGACTATGCACTGACTGGGTGATTTTCTCAATTGCAGAGAACCTCTTATTACAAATATCATGTGGAGGAATTTATTGATACAGGTATGGCCACTAACACTTTATACGAAAGAGTTTTTGCTGGCTTTTTGCTCCTAACAATGTAGAGTTCGGATCTTTAGGCTGCCTATCAAGTGAGTGTCCTGCTTGTCCTCAATTTCCAAGGTAGAAGCTTACTGAATTTGGAGAATGATACCCGCGATCATGCTAACAAAGTGAAGAATACACTGATCTTCAACGCTTTCGTCTTTTGCCAAGTAAGTTTGGTGCCTTATGGTCAAAGAAGACAGAAAAATTGATGGTTCTGGGCTACTATTGTTGAGATTACTTATGCATTTACTTTTATCGGAATTGAATGGGTTGGATCTCTAGTTAGGACATTTGGCAATAGAATTATTTTATCAGCTGAGATGATCGAATGATCTTCGAACTGTACTTCAGCATTGATTCTATTCTCTTGTGCAAGGAAACAAATTGAATTTTAATTGCTTGGAAGTGAGTTTTTCTGTGGCATTCTTGTTGTTTGAAGAGAACTACTCCTTAGAGAGAGAGAGAGAGAGAGAGAGAGAGAGAGAGAGAGAGAGAGAGAGAGAGAGAGAGAGAGAGAGAGAGAGAGAGAGAGAGAGAGAGAGAGAGAGAGAGATGCAGTGTGCCAATGGATTCGCTTTTGTTTCTGGTTTTGTTGGCAATTATATAGTTTATACCTTGACTGCATCTGCAGTGCCCTTATCATAACTGGTTAATGCAAATGTTGCACTGATTCTGATTCATATAGTCTGGGCATCAGCTTGAGGAGCACATTGATAATGGATTTCCATTTCTGTCTAGGCTTGCCTGTATTATTATTATTATTATTATTATTATTATTATTATTATTTTGGTCGAAAGGCTTGCCTGTATTCATGATGCTATTACCAAGTAGATTCAGAAGTCTCTCTTTTTCTTCTTTTAGCCCATAATTTTGACAAGCATGTGAATGTTGAATCTTCAGATATTCAACGAATTTAATGCCCGGAAACCAGATGAGTTTAATGTGTTTAAGGGACTTACGAAGAATCGTCTCTTCATGGGGATAGTAGGACTGACTCTTATACTTCAGGTGAGAACCTTCCAGATTTTTTCTTGTTTGAGTTAAGAAATCATGTAAGAATTTCTGACGATCTTTTTATCTTGCCTTCTCTTCAGATCATTATCATAGAGTTTCTCGGGAAGTTTACTTCAACAGTGAGACTTAATTGGAAGCAGTGGATCATATCCATTATCATTGCTTTTATCAGGTCTGGTGCTTGTGTATCTCTCGTGATATTGATTAGGGGTGAGCATGGTCTGGGTTGGGCCGGTCCAACACCTAACCCAAGGACCAACCTGCACAGTATTGGTCCCCAATTTTTGGGACCGAGGACCAACCCTGTTGAGCCTAGGATCGGGGACCGGACTGACCCTATGGGTCTAGTCCGGTTCCAAGGTCAACTTGGGACCAATCGATTACTTTTTTGTTTCATTTTTTGTATTCCTAGAAAAGACAAACATACTATTTCAAATTACATATCCATCAACAATGCAACATTGAGTAATCAAATTATGAACGCCAGTACATATCAAACATAAATATAAGATAATGTAACAACATAAAATTCACACTTGATAAAAGCAACAAACCAAGAAAACGAACACGTGACATACAATTAAACCATAAGAAGTTCAAAATACATAATATAAACCATGAATTATATAACTTCATATCATGTTCATTCTTAAATGATCGCTTTAACTTCCAAACACCTAAAAACAAAATAAACAACACACATAATTAATACTTAACAAAGTATATTAGTCCAACTGAGCTATGCTCTAAGGCGAGCAAGGTGAGCGGCGAGGCGAGTGAGGCAAGCAAAGAGAGGCAAGCGGCGAGGCGAGTGAACATAGGCGAGCCAGGCAAGGCGAGAAGGTGAGGCGTGTAAGCGAGGTAGGCGAGCGAGTAGAGACGAGTGAAGAGGGTTTCTATTTTTTTGGTCGAAGTAGAGCTAGGTTTCTTTATACTTTCTATTTACGTGGTAAACTGAACTGCATAAGAAAGAAGAAAATAGAGAAGGAGACACTAGGGTTTAGAGTAGATAAAAGCATATAATGTATAATATATATTATATACAGGGTTGGTCCGGGTTAGGCCAACCCTAAACTCTTAGGACCGAGGACCAACTCACGCAGTGCAGGGTCCAGGGATCCCAAGACCAAGGACTGACCCAGACCCCCTAGGAACCGGACCAGGACCGGCCGGGTTGGGCCAGTCCAGGGTCGGTCCAGGGCCAACCCTAGACCGATGCTCACCCCTAATATTGATGGTGGCTATGGGGAGTTTCTTATAACGTTCTAATTCTTATTACCTTTTTATCTTATTTGAGATTTTGTTAGTGCATTGAACAAATAAACATTATGGAAAGAGCAATAACAACACTGATCACTTGCTTTCTATTAAATTCGTTGACTCTTTACTAATGATCTTTCCTTTATGGTTTTCCCGGCTTTGAAAACAGTTGGCCTCTGGCCGTTGTCGGAAAGCTAATACCTGTCCCCAGAACTCCGATTCATGTGTATATTGCAAGGTTATTCTGTCGACGACGATGAAGTCGTGGAAGTGAGTTCTTTGCTGCTTTTCTGTGCGCACTAAGTTCCCAAGTTTTTCAGTTGCCTTGCCGCTAATTTTCCTTTTCCTCGTGCAGGTGAACCGAGTGAATCTTGAATAAGCTTGGGACCGTGTGTGTCTAGTTTACAGGACGGCATGATAGGTAGACAGTACACTTCTGACGTAGTTCTGACACTATGCATTTGCGTAGCTTCCAGTGAAAATTTCTATTCACATTTCGTGTGAATTGTACATAACTTTAGGGGGAACTTCTTTTTCATACAGAATTTGTTTCTCTGTCTGTTTCGCTGATATCTTTCTCTGTAAATGCAAGATTTGGATCAAAAGTTCAATGTGGTGAAATGAAGGTTGCTACTGATATCTCTCTGTAATTGCAAGATTTGGATTAGAAGTTGAATGTGGTGAAATGAAGGTTGCTACTGATATCTGTGTAAATGCAAGATTTGGATTAAAAGTTGAATATGGTGAAAGAAGGTTGCTACTGATATCTCTCTGTGTAAATGCAAGATTTGGATTAAAAGTTGAATGTGGTGAAATGAAGGTTGCTACGTGCTTGCAGTTTGACGAAGGCCTGTCAACTAGAAAGCTCTAAGTTATCCCCTAAGCAAAGCTAAACCGATTTATAGACACATTAGAATTACATTTGTTGCAGCATAAGAGGAAAATCGAAAGGCCATGGGTTGGGAGTCACTTCTGCTAAAGCCTGGAGGGTTTTGTTAGCCAAACATGATATAGATTCAATAAGCTTGGAGGGGGTTTTTATATCTCATATTCTGGAAATGAAAAGTAAAAAAGCAAAGGACTACCAGGTTATTCACCCTCTCCGAACTAGATATACCTGTAAATTCACCCTTTGAGATTGCGATAGAGCAGACCATGGAAATGGTGCGTGGCATTTTCAACTGTCGGCGCATATCTTCCACTGCAATAGGCTGGATATTCGAGGCCTTTTTGAACGCCTTTACACAAAACAGTATCTTCCATCTGCAATTCCCCAAAGACGTGAGGATCGTAATGCCCAAGAGTTGGCCCTACGGATTCGATATATGTTTTGCTTTCTTATACCTGTGCTCTTTCACTATCCTGCATACTTCTCTCCAGGAAAATCTTGTCATCCTGTAACCAAAGGAAGCGGATTAGATGAACTGCTGAAAATGATGCTAAATTTGAAGGAGAAAATAGCTTGAACCTGAATAGCTATAGCCATCTAAATCGACTGTGTTGAGAAAACTCGCATAATTAATTTCACATGAACCAGAACACCATCATAAGATTCAGCATCATGATAAAGCGTTAAATGTGTGGAACAATGACTCTGAAGCATATCCCACAGGACGAGTGAATTAATGGATGCGAGTAGTGTCAAAAGTGACAAGGGATGAACCTATAATAAGAAAACAAATCCTGGAGGGCAATGATAATTGGTTGTTTAACAGGATATGATAGTAGAATAGTGGAGAACATGTACAAATCCGTATCTTTAGCTACTTAGCTCTACTTTGTAAAGGCATGCTCCACTATGACATTCTCTATTGCCACTAACCTTCTGTGGTAATAACTATCACCCGAAGGACTGGAGGCATATGTATTCAACACTGCATCTTGTAATATAAGTTCATGTATTAGATTAATGTTCTTGTTTTATGAAATTACTACTTTTCGTAGATATTCTGGGTTTACTATGTGCACACTACTCCTTTTTTCCTTCTGCATCAATACTGGGAAATTCTGAAACATTCACATGTTGCTCATAAGTTATTGGTGGTTGCAGTCATTCTTTGATACTACAGGGACTAACTGGAATTCAGATCACCTTAAGAGAATCTTTCAGAAAATAGTCAAATATTACGCGGCATTTCATTGGTCCCTGGGGCAGTACAAGATTTGTGTCCATCCATGGTCCGTACCTATAAAAACAGTAAACCTCAGCTAGAGAAGGGAAGTCAGATAAACCGCTTCTCGATACTACAATCTGATGAGTGAACCATCACCTGTTTATCATGAAATTGGGATAAATGAAAGCATAAAGAGCTTTCGCTCCAAGTTGGTCAAAATCATTGGCACTGTCGGTTGATCACCTTCGCATATTTGTAGACTTACTTAATTTTTCATGTATCTGGTATGAAGAAATTGTAAAAATGAAAACCATAAACAGTTGCAAATATAAAGTAACCATCATATAATAAGATTTAACATGATGAGGATGATCCCAGGAAAATGCGGGAACAACACTTAAATATATGAAATGGGCATTATGAAAATGCACATATATGGGACGTATGTTGCACGTGTATTGCACATATATCTCCCTTTGATTGTATATATCTTGATTGAGATATTATCTTAGAATAGTTATCTAATGAAATCTATAAATAAGCTGATGTATTCTTGACTGAGGAAAGAAGGGTCGGTGTACCATGACCTTGGCGGAGTCGAGGTCAATTGGCAGCTCCGGATCAAACTTTCGGCCATGGCGCCAAACGAGCCTCTGTCTTGGCCGGCTCCTTCACGTTTCTCTCCAGATCAAGGTAATAAACTACTACTCTGCTAGTGCCATATTCAGGAATATGCTCTGCCATTTGACCTGCGGAGTATAGCGATGGACTTTGCAATATTTTGCTTGAATAGCCTTGATTCACTTGAGAGTGTAGAACCATCCTAAGAAGATGCATTTTATGTGGTTAGAGGTGTCGACCTCTTCTGATGAAAAATAAAGGTTCATAGAACTTCATGAATGAATAGGACCATTATTGTTGATTTCAATAAAAAAATGAACAAAACATTATTCATCCAATCAGGGTGAGATACAAGGGGCCGCACCTATTTATTAACAAGAAAAGCAAAAAACTACCATATATACCGAAAGCGAACACCACAGTAATTAAGGCAAAACCATCAAAAACGGTGGTAAGCCAACAAGCATGTCCGGGGGGCAACACCAAAATAATCGGTAAAAGTGGATGGGTAGTACCCAGCATCGGGTAACAGGCGTCACACCCACCCAGGCCAAAACACACGTAAGGCGCTGTAGCAACAAGTCAAAAGCACCACAAGAAATAAAAAGGACACTACCGAATAATAACGCAATGATCCCAAACGTAAGCCCAAATAAATACAAAGATTTATGGAAAAGAACCACCACCAGTCAAATAAAATACAAATCAGGATAAATATACAAAAAACGGCATAGTGGCTATACAATACCACAACAAACAACCATAACCCAAAACATAACCAAAAACTCATTCGGAGAAAATTAGATTATGCTAATGGCTACTACAATGACATCATCTTATTTCTTTTTCATTGTAAGCTGCATTATCATTATCATTTCGTCATACCCGGCTAGTGTCGCTTCGTCCAAGACCACCCTCGTTAAACCTCGGGGATTAGCCATCGAGCTCATCCACCATGATTCTATTCAATCTTCATATTATAATCCAAAGGTCACCATATCCGAACAGGCTGAACGTGCCATTAATGGTTCGCTTGCCCGCATCCACTCATTGAGCAAAATAAGCGCTACTCCAAATGATGACGACGTTCGTGCCACTCTCATTCCAACCGTTAGCCTACACGGTTTCGTTGGCAATATATCCATCAGTATGCCGCCAGTCCCGCAACTTGTGCTACTTGACACCGGAAGCGACCTCCTTTGATTTCGGTGTCTATTGCACTACTTGCTTCAAACAATCTCCTCCTCTTTTTGATCCTGCCAAATCGTCGACCTACTCCAATATTCGTTGCAATTCCCTTGCTTGTTTACAATCTGGTGGCGAGTGCGATCCTAATAATGAGTATTGCATTTACGTGAGGAAGTATATTGATAAATCCACCATAGCCGGTAACTTCACCTCTCAACAAGCGACCTTTGAGACATCTGATGAGGGCACGATAAAGGTGCCGATTGAGGTGCTCGGATGTGGCCACTCAAATAAATACGGTGTGGATGGGCAAGAAAGCGGGATATTAGGACTAGGCCTTGGGGATGGTTATTTGCCAAATCTGGTTAAACAATTAGGCTCCAAATTTTCCTACTGCTTCGGCAACATACACGACCCCTAGTATCAATAAAATCAACTCAGCTTGGGAACCGGGGCGATCATGGAAGGCGATTCTACGAGCCTGGAGACTTACGGGGGTTTCTACTATTTAGACCTCCAAGGTATTAGCGTCGGAGAGAAGAAGCTACAAATCGACCCCTTGGTATTCAAAAGAGGCCTGATGGGTCAAGGAGGAGTGATCATAGACTCGAGAACCACGTTCACGTTCCTAAAGGAAGAGGGGTACGTTTCGTTGCAAAATAAGGTCGAGAGCTTGATGGCTAGAAAGCTTAACAGGGTGAGTCATCCGGAGTTCTTGTGCTACTCAGGGAGCGTAGAGAGAGATTTGACGAGATTCCCGGTCGTCACCTTGCAATTCTGGCGCGGCACGCAACTCAGCTTAGACACCAACAGCATGTTTTTCCAGTTAGCGGCAGACGTCTTGTGCATGGCCATTAGTAAGTCATTACCCGATATGAGTGACTTATCCGTGATAGGAGTGCTGGCACAACAGTCCTATAATATAGGGTATGACATCAGAGGGGGCAACATTTTCTTCCAAAGGATCGACTGCAATGCTCTCCAATCACTTGTATGATCACATGTGATTCAAAATTCTCCACTGATACAGATACAGTATCGATGTATTTGGTATTTTCCTGAGTAAAAACAAGAGGGGATATGAATGACTTTTTTAGAGAACGATGAAATATGAATTCTCAGTCAATCTCTCTGGATCCAAGATGCCAATGCCAACTGAAGACTTGCGCTTCGAGGCTGAGCAACGTTTAACGTACAAATGAGAACGATGGATTTTGAATTCTTCTCTGCTTTGGTATCATTCGATCGCGTACAAAAAGCATTAAAAGCTAAGTTTCGATTAAGTCAATACCGTTGTTCTCAGTCTTTTTCCCCGCATTTCCAGTGGCTTCTTTACTCCTCTGGATCGCCTTCAGTCCGCCAGCAACCACCGCCTTCGCTGCTAGTCACTCGCCGTTTCCACAACCACTTTGGAAGCCTCCTCTGTTCTCTGCCTTGTCGTGCGGTTAGTTTGCTCCAAGTGCTCTCAAGTTCTCAACTTGTTCCTTTCTCATTCGCTGGCTCAAATTCTCAGCGTTTTTGTGCTTGATTTGTCTGCAATCATGACTTGGTCATGATCGATGCTCTTGACAGCACCTATTGCGCATACTCGTTCTCAATCTTGTTTGATGTTTAGTGTTCCTGCTCCAGCATTTATTTTTCACCTTGTGATGTTGTTTGCATTTGTGATTCTCTGAATTTGCTTGGATCGATGGCCTGGATTTGCCTTGGTTACCCCAATTTTAGTTCAGATTTATGTTTAACTGAGAGACTCTACAAAATTCCCAAGTTGCATCAATGAACGTCCCGAGTCTAGATTTGATTGAGTTTAATGTCTTCGCTGGCTTCATTTGTCTATTTCTATTGCATAAGCTGTAGTCGATTTCTGTTTGTCCTCATTAGAAGCAAATCCGGTAATTGCTCACTCCAAAGTTTATTTCCGAAGGTCTCAGTTCATTACATATTTTCAATGTTTATATGAGACGAGCTTGAATTTGCATATTGCTGAACTTGGCCGATAAACATATGAAAGAAATTGGATCCTTCCTGATCGGCGTTAAAGCTGGTATGCTTTGGATTTGGCCTAGAAGCATTTGTAGTTGATATGTTCTGCTGAGATTTGATGAGATTCTATGTTTGTATGTAAAAACCGGTTTGGTAGTGAGGAAAATAAGACTGAGATTTATGAACGAAATTCATTGATATGTTGGTTTTCCGGATTTTTTTGCCAAAAATGACTAGTCAACCGAAAACATTTTTCGATCGATGAAAATATTTATACATAAAATCAGGAAAGCGAATTTCTAATTCTAAAATGGTGAAAACACTATCCCGAATTGTTCTTCTCTTTCCCGAGTTGACTCGAAATCGACTCGTCTGTCTCTTCTCACAGCGGCAGGGACTCGTGCTCTGCCACCGCCTCCTTACGACTCCCACTTCTATCGCCACTGCCTCCGCCTCCGCCACCACTTCTATCTTTAGCTCCTTTGCTGCTCCTCTGTCTCAAATTACTGCTCTCATCGTTCTCCAATTCATTCTCTTCCTCCTCCATCGTTGGCCCCATGCTCTCCAACCGAGTAACGAGCGACTCCACCGTCGGCCTCGTACAGCTCCGATTCAAGCTCTACACGCCCTTACCTTCACCTTCATCACCCCCATCGTCTGACGACAAAACAACAACTGCATCTCTTTTCACCATCACCAAATGCCAGGATTCGACGTTCGCTGAAGACCTAGCTCACGACATCGACGCTCGGCGAGCTTCAATTATAGGATGTTGCACTGCTTCTCACTTTTTGGATAATGTTCATAGATGTGAATTGGAGAAGCTTGGAGACTTTCATTAGCTTCCATTAGGATTACGTCAATTTTAGAATTTAGAATCTAGATTAGGCTTCATAATGGACTTAGAATAGTTATTTTGAATAAAATTGACAATCTTTGTTTTTTGTTTAGGTTTAAGTAGATTAGTCTCTTTAGAAAGGATTGGGTTTGATTTTAGCTTATGGGGTTGCTGTCGAAGTCTATATGGTAAGGCCATATAATATTTTTTGCCCGACATCGTTTCCGGTTACTTTCTGCACTTTATTTCTTATTTACCTTTCATCACTGCCTTTGATATGCTTGTTTTGATTCCTTTATGTGAATTCCTTCATTTCACCTAGTTGGATGGTCATGAGTCATGACCCATCTTAGGATCATTAAAAAAAAAAAACATCACATGGACACTTAGTGAACGAGAACTTTAGAACTCATAATTGTATAAATGACCACGTATAGGTACCGAAATGACATTATTTGGTAATTTTCCCGAATTCCTTCATTTCACCTAGTTGGATGGTCATGGCCCACCTTAGGATCATTAAAAAAAACATCACATGGACACTTAGTGAACGAGAACTTTAGAACTCATAATTGTATAAATGACCACGTATAGGTACCAAAATGACATTATTTGGATAAACTAGTGTTATCAAGTCCTCGTACTTAGATCTCTGGTTACGTAGGAATGAAATATACTTTCGTATCTCACTTGACTCCTAGCCGGCCCCAATATGCTAGTGGTGACTCATTAACATGATGAAATTTTCTTGAGTTAATCAATTGAAATGAATATTCCTAAACGTTGCGCGAGATAAGGGATTGGGAGAACCCGTGCCGATTGAGGACCTTTGGTCCCCAACTCGACATTACCTCTAAACCTGTCTGTCTCTAGTCCTGTTGGGAGGGTCACAACAATACGTTAAAGTGGTTAGTTTAGTGAAAAGGGATTACTTGTCTTTTACAAGGTCACGAGTTTGCTTCATGCCGTGAGCCAACCTTTGAACAACTCATACTATGTTGTCTATTTGCGATATACCTTGTATGCAGAAATGTCTCGATTGTAGCATTTTGACGACGCTCGAATGACAAGCTTGCCGATCTCATACCTTCAAATTGCAAGTGATGCAGAGTCGTTATGCCTCAAATAGAATATTCCATAGAAAATGTGGAACCTTCATGGTAAATTGTTGGTTAAAAAATAATCAACAACCTTTTTCCCAAGTGCCTCGTTGGCATCAATACTTTTATGAAATCACCAACCTTTTTTCATAGTTTATAAATCATCAATTTTCGTACTAACTTTCCACATTTTATATTCATAATCTACTAAGGTTTTGAATTTACTAACTCCTATATGCAATTACGAACCAAAATTAAATTGACTTACCAACTTTTGTCGGATTGAGTTATAAATTAGTTTATGAGTTACTTACAAACAATTAATTGGTTTCAAGTATACTACCTTTTTGAGTGAATTATCAACTTTTGTGTGCTTTTGATATATCAACCTCTTAATGCATCAACTCTTTTAGAGTTTACCAACCTTAATTAGCATGAATCACCATCTTTTCCATTAAACTGCCAACAAATATTGGGTTACCAAATCTGGCTAATTTACTCTCTTTTTTCTTGTTGCCAACTTTTCTTGTCGTTTACAAACTTTTATTTTTCTATTTTAACAACACCTGAAATTTACCAACTCTTTTTAAATATTACCAAAATTAGAGTGAAGGGACTAAATTGAACGAATACCGAAAGTTCTAGAATCATATTGAACAAATTAAAAGTTTATGGACCATATTGAATAAATTAAAAGTTCATGAATCATATTATATATTGGGTCAAAGTTCAAAGACCATTCATGTCATTATTCCTTTCTTTATAGCATCATCTTTATCCTTTTCTTTCTGGCCACGTAATATTTTATCCTCTGAAAGGGAAAAGAACCCCCACAGCAAATAAAACGTAGAAGATTCTTTTCAATTTTCCTCACGAGTAAACTTTAAGTCAATAAAAAAAATTACATAACCAAGTCATCCAACCTACATGAACATAAGTCGACAAAGTTTCATAAACTTGTTTTTTCCCATTCCTTCTTGGAAATGCATGTTTAATCACAATAAAAGAACACCTAAATTAGTGACCAATCCAGCTGTTTTAGACACTTTACTTGCAGAGTTTTTGTTCTCCTGAGTGTGCTTGAGTGAGACTGAAGAGTGTTTTTCTTGGTGGGCGATTTGCAGAGAAGAAGGGACTCGAGTGGGTGGACCGCTGGTGTCGTTCCTCCTGTGACGGTGGTGGAATGGATGAGCCGCCCAGAATTTCGTCGCCCTACCAGCGCCGGCATGATTTGGAGGCTGGAGGTGGAAGCTCCGAGGAGGATGAGTCCTCCGGTGGTCCTTTTGACATGACCAGCACTAAACACGTCCCCATCCGTCGTCTCAGGCAATGGAGGGTAAATCTTTGCATATTTTTCGGCTACAGTTGATTGGTTGCCACTTGTCCCGTTTGCCATATCATCTCTCCCTACCTGTCTGTCTCCCTTTCGTGAGTAATACCTGCGCCCATTCATTAAATATATATGTATAAATTTCAGACGGAAAAAAGTACCCAAAAAAAAAAATCATAAACCTATTTCATTAATACCAATTTTGTTCGAAACATTTCAATTGGACCAATTTAGTCTTTAAAACTTTTTGCATTTTGCCAATTGAGTTCATACGGTCAATTCCGTGGACAATTTTTTAAATAAAATTTGAAATTTGAAATATTTTTTTTTCTTTTTTTCTTTCTTTTTGTGTTCCATTCATTTTGGCCGCCAAATCTGGATGAGGGCTGCAATCCTCGCCAGCGTCCAAAATGAACGGGAAAAAAAACAAAAAAACAAAAAAAAATAATTAAAAAAAGAAAAGAATTTTTTTTATTAAACTATTATTAAAAAAATATCCATGTCAGCACAGGCTGTGCCATGTAGGATGGTTGGCGTCCACGTCAATAATTTCCGGCCAAACTTGGCCGGATGTACTCAATTGGCAAGATGTGAAAATGTTGAAGACTAAATTAATCAAATTGAAAAGTTTTATAACTGAATTGGTACCCATATAATAGGTTTATGATCTTTTCGTTACTTTCCCAAATTTCAGACTTATGCTCAACTCACGCACACAAAAAAGGAAAGAGTGATTTGGGATTTTG